GTCATAATAAAGTTTTAACAGTAACCCCGAAACACTCAAAACTTTTCTTTCAAAAATCTTCCTATTAGATTCACATTGTCTGAGTGGGAAGGGTAGGGGTGGGGGCAATTCCACGATCATTTATACAATCTCTGATTAATGGATATGTACGTCTATTATTCAGTAACAGGGAAAATGTGGTCCTTAACCACAGATAATTGTTCAACAGTGACAGAGAATAGAAGGTCTTTGAAATTCTGTATTTATTTAACTTTTCAGTTCATTTTTTCTTCTTCTGGTCACTGACTTTGTTCCTCTCATGGAAAGTAACTAACTCTTTCCTTTCCTGTTCCCCCCTCCCCCTGCAAGTACTTTTCTAATGGGAAGCCAGGTAAAACTTGTCAGGTACTGTACACCATAATTATTCAGCATACAGTATTCTGTATCAACTCTACCTTTTCGAAATCCAAACTATGGAAATAGCACCCTCTTGTGATAGTGGAGTGGAAGAGATTATGCAAGATAAAGTTATTATGTAATATTTCTGATGAAAATATGTACAGTGGTTTTGACATACCTACTACCTAATCTAATAATATAATATCTAATAATGGAGCATCGCTCCAGAAAAGTAAAAATCCGATCACAATTTTTTTAAAAAATGAGAAGCTATTAATAGATGTTAAAACTAGATCTATTATTTAATTTAATTAATTTAAACTAATTGATTTAAATGATGCCCAATTTTACAGAATCAAAAATCTGTTAAAATTTCATAAGCCATTTAGTACAAACCCCTGCATGAGGCAGGAAAATCCATGCCTCTTAGTGATGACTGCTTGTCTGATCATTTTCTAGAATTCTTTAGATCTGCAGAAAATCATTTTTACTGTTGAATTATTTTTGCAGTTATGTCACTCAAGTTCATTAAGTTCACTGTTGTCCTTTGGGACAGCAGAAAACAAAGAATACACATTACACTATAAAGCAAGAACGTAGTTTGACTGGTTTGGGCTTAACATGTGGTATTCACACAGCCACTGTAATTTATAACTATGACTTATGGCATGGACAGGCAAACCAGAATGCACCTGTGCCTTCCCAAGCATGCTGTGGAAGATTTGGGATGTCCCATATTGTACTTCCAGCAAATTTTCTTTTTTTATATAAATATTTTATTGATTTTCTATTTTCAAAAACAAGTGCTCCATAAACAATGTGGTGACTGAGTCCAGTAATAATTCGGTGATGCATATACGTTTTTCCAACTAAGTCCAATGTTACACCTGCCAATACATCCTCTCTTCTTCTGGTATAACAATTTTTCGCATTAGGCAAATACAATTCTTAGTATTGTTAGAAAACATACAATTGCATACCAACATTTATTACATTTTTCTAATCATATCAATAATATCAGTTTAAAATATCTTTCCTAGCCAAAGCATATCTTAATTGCATTTGCATTCAATTTCCACATATTTAATCCATGTCCTATTTTTGCTTCCCCCCCCAATTTTAATTCCCCATTCATGTTCAAAGTATCCAATCATTTATAAGTTCAAAAAAAGTTATATTTGGGCAACCCAAAGAATCCCTTATTCAAAGTTCTTAACATATTCTTATTTCCCTATTCATACCAAGATATAATATTCTGATTACAAATCCTAACTGTCTAGTTATAATAATACTTCTATTTCTAACAATCTATTCTTAACCATATTCAAACCTCTAATCAATAATATAGCATCCCCTCTAATAGGTCAAAGCTTCTATTTCCTTCAATCTTACTCTAGCTTTCTTTCTTTGCCAACTATTTTCCAAGTTAGTGCAGTTAGGTCATTAAAAAATTCTTCCTCTACTTTTATATATATTATTTGGAACAAGAAAAACAATTTAGTTAAAATGCTTTTAGAAGAGCTAGCCCATTGATATTCTTCTCTGGTTCCCTACAGTTCTGTTAACGACTTTATCTTCCATTCCATCAGCTCTCCTTTCTTATCATCCTTCCAGCAAATTTTCCATTGGCAGTTTAAGGATCATATAATAACTGAAGAGTCTTAAGGCCAAAGGTACCTATTTTATCCCTCTAGTGACATTGTAAAGTTTGTCTTTTCTTTAGCAGCCCACAAGAAGGATAAGAAATCATTGCCCTCACTTTTTATAGCTTAGGGTGATGTTTGACTCTAGTTGTCATTTAACAAACGCAGGCCCCAGGCCACCCCAACCCAGCTGGGAGAACCCCCAGCACACGTACAGGAAACAGTGAGCGCTCGGGGGCTGGCGGTGCGCAGCAGCAGCAGCAGCAGCAGCTCATTTGCCTCACCCCGCCTTGCCCTATCACGCCCAGCTATACTCCGCTTTGCCGGGCCTCTCCTCTTCTTATCTGCCTCTGCTTTGCTGGGCCACATCTCACCACGCCTCATCCCACTTTGATGGGTGTCTTGTCTCCTCGCTCGGGCCATGGAGTTCTGTCAGCCTCATGGCCCAGGGCTCGAGGTGCAGCCATCCTTTATGGGGTGGCTCACATGTTGGCGGCCACCGGCAGTTCTAGGCTGTGGGTCTGCATGTGGCATGAGTGCTGCATTCCCCTCTCCGGCTCTACCACATGGCGGATAGGACGACTGGTAGCCAGCACCTGCCAATGCTCGGCTTGTGCCACCATGCACTCCCTTCTCCCTGCCTTTCGTCCCACAGGCTGGGTCCTATCCACCGGGCAGCATGGAGTGAGGAAGGAAGGAAGGAAGGAAGGAAGGAAGGAAGGAAGGAAGGAAGGAAGGAAGGAAGGAAGGAAGGAGATGGTAATGAGAAAGAGGGAAGCAGGGAAGGAGGGAGGAAAACAGGAAGGAAGGAGATGGGAATGAGAAGGAGGGAGGCAGGGAAGGAAGGAGGGTAGGGATGGAGAAAGGAAGGAAGGAAAGGAAGGAAGGAAGGAAGGAGATTGGAATGAGAGGGAGGGAGGGTCTAAGGGAAGTCCTGCCTTAGCACTTGGCCACTGGCAGTCCTACTGCCCTTTCGCCATTCACTTGCCCCCTCCTCGTGGCTTATTCTAGGGGTCTCCCATCCTATTGCTAAGGATGCTTTGGTTACAAAGCCGCGTCTCCTTGCATGGAGAGGGAATGGGCCTCCCTCTGACTCACACACTTTGCCCTCCTGCACCCACCATGAGCAACCTGGCCAAGGAGAGCGAGCACAGCAGCAGCAGTCTTGAGGAGAAGGTAAGCGCAGCTGGGTACCCCCTCGCGGAAGTGGGGCTGCGCTAGGCAGGGCTGTGGGGTCCCAGTGCTTCAGGAATTCGAGGGTCTGGCCTGGGTGCCTGACCTCCACTGCCCAGGGCTCCAGGCAGCCTGCACCACTGTCTAGGGCCCCCCTGCATGGTCTGAGAGGAACGGTGAGGCTCCTCCAGTGGACCATGCCCTGGTGCTCGCCCTGGTGCCACCTCCCCTCCGCCGGAGACCCTCAGATCTATCCCAGTCCTGCCCAGGCCCTCACAGGGGTCCCTGACACAAGTGACGTTGAGCTGGCCACACTCATCCAGTAGACTACGCCCACCTGTCACACCCAGCCAGTAGGCTGCGCCCACCCTGGCCATACTCACCCCCTTCCCGAGGGCAACCACAATGCTGATGCGGTCCTCAATGAAATTGAGTTTGACACCCCTCGTCTATAGAGATAATACAACAGGAACAGAGAGGAGGGAAAAGCAAGTGGAATGGCCCTACTTGTAAAGAACTGATAATTGGCTCAACTTTCATTGCTTGTCATCTTATTCTTGAAAGACAGAGTTTTCCATGATCAGTGTGGGCTTCCCGTCAGTCTACAGTCTCAAACTATCTTAGGATGTTTTCTTGCCTCCTGCTACACATATGCTTATCTAAAAAAAGAGAAAAGAACAATGGGGGGGGATTTATTCAGCACAACCACTTTAAATTAAATTCATACAGTTGATCACTTTCCTAGGAATAGAACCCACTCCAAAATCAATAGGATTTATTGATACTAAGACTACAGTGTAATCAGCTTGCTTTCTGACCTCAAAATTCAATGCCCCAAGCTACAACTAAGTCTTTGGAAGGTTATTTTTAAAACAAAAACAAAAAAACCCTAAAGATTTGAGAATTGCATCCATGTAGTTTCTTGGCAATGTTAGAACAAACCTCCTGAAGATAGTTTCACCATCAGCCTTGGAATCTCTGGTGTTCTCCATCAAAGTACTAACCAGTTCTAACACAAAATAGGCGTTACACAGATGTAAATTCCAGTATATTTTATTATCCACTGGTATACTCTAAATAGCACTCACTATAACACTTCAGACAAATGCTTAGTTTTAAAAGGCATTTGTTTCACTTTTCCACTATGGAAGTTGCCAAAAATATTCTAATTAATCTTTCTTGCTAGGCTGAACTCCCCAAATGTACCAATGAACTATATTTAAAAGTTATAGTAGGTAGGCACAAACCAAACATACCACTTCCCCCTCATGTTTTTGTGTGAATCAGATAAACCAGGTTATGCATTTTGCCTTAGAATGGTTTTATTTACGTTAATACTTATGATTAGCTGATTAGCAGTTCATTGAATCATAAACTACACAAACTGTTCATATAGCACACAGGCTAACATCAATTGGCTAGGTTATACAACAATGTGTCATTAAAACATAATTACTTGTGCTTGTCAGCATGCTAAACCATACAACCATATAACTCTACGAAGACACTTATATATCCAGTCAAACAGGAAAAATACTTTATCGCTTCCTCCTTATTTACCTAGCCACACGTTTCGTTTACTGAAATTTAAGGCGTATTATTATTGGTGGACAGCAGTATAATCCCGCCCACAACATGTAGCTATGCCCACAATGTTTTCCGCCCTTAGTTAGGTCTTACTGGTTAAAAAAGGGGGATGATCTGATCTGCCATTGGATGAAAATCTTAGCAACTTGAACTTTCAGGAGCAGGCAGCTACATTATTGGATGCGGTGAAGGAGGGCGGGACTGCCTAGCTTTTTAAGTGCCCAGTTTCCCCTATCCCGAAAAGGGATCTTTTCCCAAAGTGTCTGTGAAGGACGTAAGATGTGGCGGCTGGTATGGTTGCTGGCGGGAGTGACTGCAATTCCGCCGCACCAGGAGACGGCACGGGTCGCCCGCTTCGTGGCCCATGCGTGTGACTGGGGCGCGTTGGCCACGATCTCCACGCAGGATCCTCCGATGCGGGGCCAGCCCTTCGCCAATGTGTTTTCCGTCAGCGATGGGCCGGTGGGAAAAGGTAGTGGGGTCCCTTATATGTACCTGACGGAGCTGGAAATCTCAGTGCATGACTTGAAGGTGAGCGGTGGCCGACAGCTTCGTCCTGGGTACGTTGCCTTTGAAGGCAGTGCCCGGCTGGTTTAGGAAAAGGTCTCTGCGGTTTGAGGTTCTAATGCAGGGGTAGTCAACCTTGGCTCTTTTATGACTCGTGGACTTCAATTCCCAGAATTCCTGAGCCAGCCATGCAACTGGATGAACTATTTCTTCTGTAATAGTAGTAAATTGCTGCTGTTGTAAATTAAGTGTAAGAAGAACCATTTACTATGATTATCAGCATGGGTGGACTTACAGTATGATGCTAATTGGTTGTTACAGCAGAGGGTGAGCAGTTGTTTGTTCATCTCTAATATTAGGTATTATAGTACAATTATAATAATTTAAACCTATTCTGTATGGTGCTTAAGCTAGCTGTTTAAGCATCATTCCAGAAAAGAGACATGGATCACCAAAAAGAACAAAATTGTGCAGAATTGCGTAATATTTCAAACTACACATGTACGGGTTTAGAAACATTGGCTGTAATTTAGATACATCTCACCATAGCGGGAACATTGCACCAAGAGTTCAGTCTGTCTTCTGGACACCAACAGCTGCAGTGCAGTTCAAATTCTCCTTAACATTTGCCTTCAACTGGATTTGAAATGGGCAAGTCTTCAAATGAAGAACATGTTCAGATGAAGGTCATACTCAGTAGTTGTGACTTCTAGTGTCCTTTCTAGAATCATGGTCAGGGGTAGGCAACCTTGGCTCTTTTATGACTCGTGGACTTCAACTCCATGCTGGCTCAGGAATTCTGGGAGTTGAAGTCCACGAGTCATAAAAGAGCCAAGGTTGACTACCCCTGTTCTAATGTGTGGCCCGGCATGGTCGTAAAAGAAGAAAATGCAGATTCCACTGTCAGCATTTTCGGTCAGTTTTTAGGGAAATTTGCACTTATAACTAACTTATGAGAAAGCTTAGACTCGTCAGATTACCAAAAATGATTTAAACGTACTGAGGTGTTTTTTTTTTCAGAACTAGTTTTTCCTCTGTATTGCAGGTTATGCTCTCCACTTTTGAGATTAAGCTATGATGAGTTGTGGTCACATTAAATTAATCATGTTGTTTTCTGTGGTTATGAGAACATAGTTTTAAAGACCGCTCCATATGTACGTATTGACCTTTTGAAGAGGATGATGCAAAAAGAGTCATGAATTATTTTTCAGCATAAAACAACAGATTTTTATGTGATGTCCTGAATGTTCCATTTAGTACATACTGTACATGCTTCTGTGCTTTAGCTAGCAAGCCTTTTGGCATGAGAATTACGATGTAAGATTTGACAATAATAATCCCATCCCCAAGATGAGCAGGAATTCCATACCAGCTCTCTGGCTTAAGGCTGAGTTAGATATAGTATGAAAAACTGGATGGGATTTTGTTTCACTTTTTCATATTGGAGTTTGGAATGGAGTGTAATTATTGTAGTGGCAATAATTTTTCCTTCAATTTAAGTAGCAACGCCTATTTTCTCAAAATGGCTAGTTGTCTTGCAAGAACAAAATAAAGATGATCTGGTGTATTTTATCCTGTATGATAAACAGCAGATTCTGATGGCAATTCTAAATTTTTAAATTGGACAAATGCAAAGATATTATGAAAAAGTGTACAAATATGGGTAAGATTTGTGAAAAGGACCTTGGAATTATAGTTGATCACAATAAAACAGACTGAATTTTAGGCTGTACAAAATAGAAATATAATTGGAAAACCTGAAGCAATAGTTTTACTATGTATTAAAGTCAATAGCATATACTTTCATCTTGCCTTCAATATTTAGTCAACTACCATAGTGCTCCAATTATGCTAAGCCATATTTTTAAGCAGTGTTTTTTGAGTGAATTGTAATAGGCAGATTTGTGCATTATATTAGACCACAGAAGTCACTTTATATATTATAATAAGGTATGGATTTATTTAATTATTAATGCAATATGTGAATAAAGACAGTTACTGTGATATTTGTGTAGAGAGGGGTCATTGTTACTATTATCATGGCTGAGTATTAAAAATACATGTTCTGCTTCCAAGCAGTGAAGTTTTAGGGATATCGATGCTTAAAAAGGATTAGAAAGAAGATCATTTCTGTGATAGGATAATTTGTACACACATATAAGCTGAACGTTCACACCATTAGGTTTTTGCCAATCATATTTCTTATAGAACCTGGGCATAGGATTTCAAGTCCATTTCCAAAAAAGATTGTTTAAAATGATAACCTTAACTGGCCCATTCTTTTAACCTAGTATGGAAAATTGTCAATCTGTAAGGGACTTAGCTAGCTGTTACTAGAGTCTTTATCTTACATTTGACAAGCCATTCTCTAGAGTTTCTTTCAGTTCTTTCTTGATAGCTCAAAACTCTGATGAGTTTATTTCAAATTTTTTGGCCTCACTCTTATCCATTCTTCTTTGTCTTTCATCATCTTCTAAAATAATAGTGTAACTGGAAGTGTAGGCGTGTGTTTAAATATAGATGTCAAGCCATATTATACTTAAGTGTAGGTGCATTTTTCTTAATTTACTGCTGTGATCAGCATATTTGAATAAATGAGAGACACTGGGAGTCAGGTAATATATATATTTAATAAACTATTATTAAACCTTGCTGTCAAGCAAAATCAAGTTTTTAATAGCGAGTGCCACACAAAGTGCACTAACCAAATAGGTGGTAAAAAAATAGGGGAACTCAGGCACCACACAGGTTATATAGAAAGTAAACACAGGGTCAGTCATAAAGGACTCAAATGTCTATACACCAATGCACAGAGTATGAACAGCAAACAGGGTGAACTAGAAATTCAGGTTAATGAGGGCAGATATGATATTGTTGCCATTACGGAAACATGGGATGAAACCCACAAATGGAACACACGGTTAGAGGGATTTAAATTATTTAAAAGAAACAGACCAAATAAAAGAGGAGGTTATTTCTATATAAGAAATAACTACATCTCTACAGAAATAGAACACAACAATGATGAAAACTGTCTTGAATGCATTTGGGTCAATATAAAAGGGGGGGGATGACATTGCCATAGGTGTATACTATAGGCCACCCAACCAAACAGAGGAAATTTGCTAGTCAGCTAACTAAGGTATGTAGGAAGCACATCACAATAGTAATGGGGGATTTTAATTACCCTGACATCAACTGGGAGACAAACTCTGCACCAAGTGGAAGATCAAACAGATTCCTGACAAACCTAGCAGACAACTTTGTCTCCCAAAAAGTAGAGCAGGGAACTAGGGGATTAGCCATATTGGATCTAATTCTCACTAACAGAGATAAAATGATAGAAGGAGTTGAAGCCACAGGAACCTTCGGAGGAAGTGATCATGCAATATTGGAATTCAACTTTATGGAAGCACAAGCAATAGAACACAGTCAAACTAGAGTCTGGGACTTTAAGAGAGCTAATTTCAATAAATTTAGAGAGGGCTTGGGAAGGATTCCATGGATGAGAATCCTCAAGGGGAAAACAACTCAAGAAGCTTGGGAAATTTTGAAAAGTGAGATAATAAAAGCCCAGTCTAGCACAATACCAGCAAAGAAGAAAAATAACAGCTCTCAAAAGAAACCAGCATGGCTGTATAAAAAACCCTCTGATAAATTGAAAGATAAAAAGGACAATTATAAAAAGTGGAAAGAGGGGCACATAACTAAGGCAGAATATCAGTAAATAGCCTGAGCCTGCAAAAAATGAAGTGAGGAAAGCTAAGGCTCAAAATGAACTAAGGCTTGCGACAAAAGTAAAAAATAACAAAAAAAGCTTCCTTCAACATGTAAAAAACAAGAAAAAAGTTAAGGAAATGATTGGTCCATTAGTGGGGGAAAGTGGCAAGAAGGTGACAAGCAATAGGGAGAAAGCAGAACTATTTAACTAGTTTTTTTGCATCTGTCTTTACACAAAGGGAAAAAACAGACCAACCTATCAAAAATAGTGCCATAAAAAACAGAATAGAAACACAAGTTAAGATAGGCGAGAAAATGGTAAGTGAGCACCTGTCCAGCCTAGACGAGTTCAAATCACCAGGACCAGATGGATTACACCCCAAGGTTCTCAAGGAACTGGCACATGTGATATCAGAACCACTGAACTATATTTTTTCAAAGATCCTGGAGCACTGGGGAACTACCAGAGAACCAGAAAAGAGCTGATGTAGTTCCCATCTTCAAAAAAAGGGGAAAAAATGGATCAAGGAAATTACAGACTTATCAGCCTGACCTCAATACCTGGGAAGATTCTGGAAAAGATAATCAAACAACAAATCAGCGAACACCTAGAGGCAAACACAGTCATTACTAAAAGCCAACATGGGTTAGTCAAAAACAGATCATGCCAGACAAATCTTATTACATTCTTTGACCAAGTGACAAAATTAGTGGATCAGAGGAATGCTGTGGATATAATTTACTTGGACTTCAGTAAACCATTTGATAAAGTAGATCACAACCTACTATTTGATAAGATAGAAAAATGTGGGTTAGACAGCATCACCACCAGATGGATTCCTAGCTGGCTGACCGGCCGTATTCAGTGTGTGGTCCTCAATGGAACTGCATCTACTTGGAAGGAAGTGTGTAGTGGGGTGCCCCAGGGCTCTGTTCTAGGCCCAGTGCATTTCAGCATCTTCATCAACGATTTGGTCGAGGGGATAGATGGGGAACTCATCAAATTTGCAGATGACACCAAGCTGGCAGGAATAGCCAACATTCCAGTAGACAGGCTTAAGATACAGGAGAATCTGGAGGAGCTATCTAACAAAATGAAATTCAATGGTGAAAAAGGTAAGGATCTATATTTAGGCAAGAAAAACCAAATGTACAGGTATAGTATAGGGGGTACCTTGCTCAATAGTAGTAACTGTGAGAGGCATCTCGGAGTCCTAGTAGACAATCACTTAAATATGAGCCAACAGTGTGCTGCGGCTGCCAAAAAATCCAACACAGTGCTAGGCTGCATTAACAGAGGGATAGAATCAAGATCACGTGAAGTATTAATACCACTATACAATGCCTTGGTAAGGCTACACTTGAAATACTGCATCCAGTTTTGGTCACCACGATGTAAAAAAGATGTTGAGACTCTAGAAAGAGTACAGAGAAGAGCAACAAAGATGATTAGGGGACTGGAGGCTAAAACATATAAGGAATGGCTGCTGGAATTGGGTATGTCTAGTTTAATGAAGAGAAGGACGGGGGAGGACATGATAGCAGTGTTCCAATATCTCAGGGGCTGCCACAAAGAAGAGGGAGTCAAACTATTCTCCAAAGCGGGACAAGAAGGAGCGGATGGAAACTAATCAAGGAGAGAAGCAACCTAGAACTAAGGAGAAACTTCCTGACAGAACAATTAACCAGTGGAACAACCTGCCTCCAGAAGCGGTGAATGCTCCAATACTGGAAGTTTTTAAGAAGAGTCTGTACAGCCATTGTCTGAAATGGTATAGGGTTTCCTGCCTGAGCAGGGGGTTGGGCTAGATGACCTCCAAAGTCCCTTCCAACTTTATTATTATTATTATTATTATTATTATTATTATTATTATTATTATTATTATTATTATTATTATTATTATTATTATTATTATACCAAATACTTACATACACTAATAGATATGTAAGTGATATATCATAATAATTATGCTTGCCTTAGTCCAGGTAATTAAAACATAGAACCATAAAGGAAGGCTCCAAGTGTAATAAAGAGATGGAATTTCATAGGAACCAAAGATTAAAAGAGGTATTGAAAACATACCTGTTTGGAGAACTTCCTCTTTCTCAAATAATTTTTACTTAACCTGAAAAAGTAAGTACAAGCCTATATAGGGCAAGCTTGATTTATTTTCTTCTTTTTACTTTAAGAATATTTTTCCCTGAAAAAAGGGATGAAATCCTCCACAATTTCTGCTTTCATAACATTGATAAATATTAATAAATTGGGTTTATTAAATTGGATTTATTAAACTTGATTTTTAAAAATTGAGTCAACTACAGTTTTTAGCAAGAGACGGGGTTCCCCACATCACAATAGGACAAAAGAATGAATTACAATATCTTTGCCCATCTATGTTTTCTTGATAATGAAATATATTCACAGCTATTAACTGGTCTGTGTCAGGTTTTAAAATAAATTGCATTAGTAGTGCTCTGTCACAGTACTCTTAAGAATTATGGGATGGGAAAAATCCCCACAATGATTCTGGAGTGATTGCTCCCATAGGCAGAATGTTCTCTGCCTCATCACTACCTTTGAATTAACTTGAACTGAACCTCTCTGTACTTTGAATATTGATAATTAAATATTAAATTGTCTTCAAGGGAGTATCAGTCAAATGAATAGAAATTGTTATGATTCATGAGGAAATAAATAATACTTAAAGATAATTAGATGATACTATGGCAAACTCACATTCAGTTACAAGTGATTCAGTGGACACATTTAGACACCTCCATATCTATGATTTGCAAAACGTCTTTTCTGAGGGGATAGTTGCAAAGGAAAATTGATTTTGGGGTAACAGATGCAGATCAATTTTAAAAACCATGGTTGTAACCCTTAAGAAGTCTACTAGTTAAGACTTGGCTGCAAATCCTGAGAAAGATGTATGCTGATCTGATTGCATTGTGAACTTTTTCTCATCTGGACTAAAATGTGATCTGGGAAGCAGTGATGTGGCAAGCAGTTTCCAATGAGAAAACTAACTCAATAGGTTGTATACGATTTTCAGCTGATGCTGGGGTGCAGAAGACCAACAAATAAACCTGATTTTTGAAGGGGGTAAAGGATATGAAGTTATATGTAGTTTGCAATGTATCAGTATTTGTTCACAACTGATACTGTGTAGTAGGAGAATCTGTCATGCGGATGCATAGAAAAATGTCATCTGGACTAGCCTAAAAATGCTGTGTCATCTTAACAGGGTGTAATTGCTTTTTCAGCAGGAACAAACTAAAGAGATAGCTCACTGTATCTTTTACTGCTGCTACTTGGGTTTATTTTGATTGAATGATGTTTCTGTTATATCCATATGACACAATACAGGTAGTAGATGACGCCTTCTGGCTGTAACTGTTACTTGAAAAGAAATATATCATAGTACAGGACAGAATTTCTTTCTACTGAAGGCAGAATTCAGCAGGACTGTTTTAAATCTGATTTCTGGGGTGATAAAGGTCTCAGAGAAATCACACTTCTATGTATTTGTTAAAAACACAGATATCTTGTCTGCTATAGATTCAAGTCAAATTAAAATGGTGATATAGCAAGTTATGTGCAGTCTTTCAGTTTATTGAACACTGACACCAGATTGTAGTAGTTTAGACTAATCTGATAGTTACCTAATTTGAAATGAAGCCAATTATTTTGAAAGACTGGAAACCTTATACGGACTTTGTACAGAAAGTGAAGAAATGAAATGTTGATTTACAGTATGTTTGAAGTTTAAGTTAGACTTGGACTATATAAGGAACTGAAGAAACCTATACACTACCTCAGAGGAAGGAGGGGTTATAAAATTGTATCTACAGTATTTGTAGAAGAGAAAGTAGGAAGCTATTTTAACTTTAATTCTTTTTTCCTTTTTTCCCTTTTTTTCTCTTTTTCTTTTCTTTTTTCAATTGGTCTTTCATTGTATGGAAAAAATGGCAGATAGATAGATAGATAGATAGATAGATAGATAGATAGATAGATAGATAGATAGATAGATAGATAGATAGATGGATGGATGGATGGATGGATGGATGGATGGATGGATGGATGGATGGATGGATGGATGGATAGATAGATAGATAGATAGATAGATAGATAGATAGTTTTTCATGATGATATATTTATAATTATCTTACGTAGTTTACAGTTGGTTCCATATTTCTTTAATAGAGTGGTAATAAGTATTGTTGCCAGTGTTTTCTGGTGCAGGGGTCCCCAATCCCCAGTCCCTGGACCAATACCAGGCTGCAGCATGCCAGCAACCGGTCCACACAAACAAGGAAAGCCCCATCCACAGGATGCAGGCAGCACACAAAACAATGCCCCCTCCAGCCCGTAGAAAAACCTCTCTCCACGTAACCGGTCCCTGGTGCCCAAAATGTTGGGTACCTCTGTTCTAGTGCATGTTTTCAATGCCTGCTTCTGATTGGCAACGAAGAAAAAAACCCTCTAATGATAGATTACTATAACTTGATGAGGGTTATGCCACAAACATTTCTACCCTCTTTAACTTTGAACTTCATGGAATGCCTTCTCTTCCCTTCTGACGTATGCAGGAAGTTGTGACAGCCTTAATCTGTATGTTGCTAGACCTGAATTCAGATTTTGAAAATATCCACTCCTGTTTGGGACCTCAGCCATCTCTCTGAAATGCTTTCTAGTCTAGCATTTGTACACATTTTGTTTGTTGCAAATATATAATTAGCGACTTAAAGTTAAGCTTGTAAGACTCTGAAAATCTTAAATTCTCAAGAAAAGCATGTCTAAACAAGTAAGCTGTATCTTGTCAACTTCTGTACTAAGTACTTGACAAAACAAAGTTCTATAAATAACATGACCTTCTACTACGTTTATTTGATTTGGATAATGCTTTTTTAAAGTTTTCACTTACTCATTTATTTATTGTATACAGTACAATGATTTCTTGCTCATTAGAAACTTGAGTGAATATCACAAGCTCTTCTAAAAATTGTTTAGCATTTGTTAGCTTATTTATATCTGAACTTTATGCAAATATTGCAGCTAGATTTAATGTTAAATGTTCACTCCTTTTTTCATAGATGGTAAGAAAGATAGAATTCTAGAGGTCTTGAAAACATTTTGCTTATTTGTGACATTTTAGATGATTCCAATAAACGTGCTTCATGTGGGACAGGCTTATACATTTTGGAACTCTGTTCTTGAAATTAGAGTTCATTGATTTACCCTGTCATCAATGTACAATTTGCCAGATATGAACTATTAGAGGTGGTTATAAAGTTCTTTCTCTGAAAAAAGAAAAATGTAACATTCTGCTGTGTGGTGTTATAAAATATGAAGATCCTAAAGAAACCTTTCAGTGCTGTGGGTTCAGTGGTGGGATTCAAATATGTGAACAACCGGTTCTCTTTGTGGATGCCGCTTCCGGAAGTCCATTCTGGGCCTGGGCAACAAAAAATTAGGTACCGGTTCTGCTGAACTAATGTGAACCGGCTGAATCCCACCACTGTGTGGGTTGTATTTCTAAAAATGTTTTTGTTAATTCAATGGTGCTTATTGGACCATGTGATTAACTTGTCCTTTCCTCATTCGGAAGGACAGTATCTGAAAAAGTGCCTCTTTTTATCTCCAGCAATACAGATGACAGCTGGAGACATTTTCCACAGATAATATACTCAGCCATGAATCAGCAAATTCTTGGAACTTAGTAATCTGTATCTGGGTTAATATTGAAGCAAGAAATGTAAAATGCTTATACAGTATTTAAATCATGTGCTTCTATAACTTCACTTTTTCCCAAAAATAAATTTGTTTGAATATTTCAAGAGGTCACAATTCAGTCTTGTGCCTATAGAAAAGGCTGAATCAACTTCATGTGACTTTTAAACTTTTACACTGAATAGAAAACGAAACAAGCAAATTCAAGTGTTTTTAGGTACATTACCTTAGACAAGTATATTTATGTCAAATTATCTTTTATGCATTATTTTACTCAATGGACTGGAACTTTGATTGAATCCAGCTTACCTCTTGTATTTCAGGTGAATGCAAATGCCTCCCTAACTATGTCCTTGGCACAGACTTCTTATTGCAAGAAGCAAGGTTATGATCCTCAAAATCCTCTATGTGCCCACGTGATATTCTATGGCGTAGTTGAGAAGGTAAACCAATATTTGTGCTGGTAACAAGACTACAGATGTAAATACTGGCTCGGAATTAGAAAATAGTGTTCATAATAGTGTGTTTTAAACCTTGGTGTTAATCTCTGTCTCCTGAGCCTGCATATTTAACAATAAAAATCCATACAAATATTTGACCCTGGTGTAATGAAGGGACTTTCTTAATTTGTGATGAGGAAATAGCCACATAGGACAATGCATTGCCTTACCAAGCTACTTTCCTCATGTACGGGACTCCGCTGCTGGAACTGAATCATCTCACATAGTTTGTGAATTATGTGGCAAACTACTGAGTAAGTGATTAAAGTATTGCTAAAAAGGATGTGCTCTTTAGTTTTGGTATTTCAGAGAGGATTTGCTCTCTTCTTCCCATTTGGCAAGGTGATGAAAAAATCTTTGGCCTACAAAACTTTATACTACAACAGGTTTATTCATTTTTATTGTGGCAAAACATGTTTATGTAGGCATGTGCTTGCTGCTGTCAGAAGAGACTTTTGACAGTTTCAACATGTTCATAAAAATACAATAAAACATCTACAGCATAACTATACAAATAAACACCATATAAAACAATATTGTTTTAATCTTCATTTGGAGCTTTGCATTTCAGAGTTAATTCAAGGAACCAGGTGGTAGTAGAGAGGGTGAGAATCAAGTTCTGTTGAGTTTAGTAGGAATTATTCCAAAGAAATTGTCTATAGTATTATAGTTCAAATGACATCAGTGTTTGAAATTGGGGTGGGCAACCTGTGGCACATATCGTACCTGTGACATTATTTCATATTGCAGAATGTAAAAGACGGTGACCCCAAGAAATAAAGATGTGAAATAAGGAAAAAAAGAAAGAAATACAACTAATTCTAGTTTCTTTCAATGCCACTAATTATACCCCTCCATATCTTATTCTATCAAAATAAACAAATTCATCTATCTGCTCAATATTTTTACTATTTATGTAAACCTGAAACTATTTACTATTTACTAAAATAGCTACTTTACTCTTTAATGCATTAATTATCAGATCCATATGCTTCATTGCTTCATATAATAAATACAGTATACCTACTACAGTGATACATTCAGTTTTCAGACAATAATATGAGGCTCTTTGCATTCAAAAGTACAAATTCATTCACAGTGCCAGCCAATCCTCCTTCATATTCATCACAAACATTCCTTATAAATATATCCATAAATATATGGGTACATGTACACATCCTTGACTTACTCTGTGTTCAATGTCAAACCATTTATTAAGCATTCAACTTGTTCTCCATCTTTATCTCCATCATATCTCCATCATATTGTATTCAACAGTTAGCCTTCAACTCCATATTCACATAAAACATTCTGTAAATAAATCCTACTGACTTTATCACATGCTTTCTCTAAATCAACAAATGAACACTAAACTTTCTTCTCATTTTCATACATTTCTCAATGATTGCTGAAGAGCAAAACTCTGCACAAGGCCACACTGCTCTTCTCAAATTTTTCTCATTGTTACCTGACATAAACTTTTATCATGTCCGATTTGTATCCTAACCTGATAAGTCATAACAAATTGATTTAGTACAGTTTTAAAAACAAATTTAGCCACCATCCAGTCCTAAAAATTCCCAACTACTACAAGGTCATCCAAGCAGTAACCAGGACCAAATCAAAAGCAGCATGTGCTGCTTTTTTGTGCAACTTATCAGACACACAGTTTTCCAACTATTGGTTGTGAGACTATTAGCTAGGCTGCAGTTCTAAGGACAAAGTCAACAATTCCACTGGATTGTGTCTGGACAGCTGTTCAAATTCTAACTATATGTTCTGGTATGTCCTAGATTGTCCTATCCTGAGAAGACTTGCAGAAAAGTATAATGGTTAACAAATTTTTTTGTCTTTTATGTTGCTGAAAACTCTTTTTTTTAGGTTCAGAATGGTACAGAAGCTGATTTTGCAAAGACAGCACTGTTCAGTAGACATCCTGAAATGGCATTTTGGCCTAAAGGGCATAACTGGTTTTTTGCCAAACTGAACATCATCAACATCTGGCTTCTAGACTTCTTTGGTGGAATCAAAACTGTGACCCCAGAAGAATATTTTAATGCTTTACCCTAGTAAGTGCTCGGTTTTGTTATATTACTTTTGAAGTAATATTTTTGAAGTTGTGATTTATGATTCTGACACATAGTAGTAGTAGTAGTAGTAGTAGTAGTAGTAGTAGTAGTAGTAGTAGTAATAGTAATAGTAATAGTAATAATAATAATAATAATAATAATAATAATAATAATAATAATAATAATAATAATAAAGTTGGAAGGGGCCTTGGAGGTCATCTAGTCCAACCCCCTGCTCAGGCAGGAAACCCTATACCATTTCAGACAAATGGCCATCCAGTCTCTTCTTAAAAACTTCCAGTGTTGGAGCATTCACCGCTTCTGGAGTTTGTACATATAGTACAAACTTGAATTCTCTCTTTTTATCAAAATCGTTTTAATGTGTTTGTGGTTAAAATCCTTTACCTGCTTAAATCAGAGTCTTCTCTGCCATAGTGCTTGCCTTCTGGAACATCCTTCCCCCACCCCCACTGCTTGAAATTAATTTAGCTCCATCCCTTTTGACATTACAAAAGGCCCTCAAGACTGGGACTCTCAGGGAACTGAAGTCTTACTTAGACGGCTCCATTTGTTGAGTATCCTTATCCTTCTTTTGCCTATGGTTTGAATGTTTGATTGTTACGATATTTATTAATATGGATGTTTATATTTTATATCTGCTGTTTTTACATTTGCTGTTTCATCTGATAGTTGTGCACCACCCAGCGTCACTTCTTGCAAAATGGGAGGCAGTGTAAATTAGATAGATAAATAAAATAAAAAACAAAATGAAACTGTTTTGTTCCTTTCACTTTTGACAAAATTGACTACTGTATAATATGTCACATCCTAGGGCTTATCCCAAAATGACAGATAGCTGATAGCCAAAATAGAATTACATGAGATTGTGTACTTGCATAAGTACTTCCCAATATGCATAAAAGATAATGAAGTTTCTGTACCGTGCCATCTATTCTGGTATTGTCTGGTCTGGCTGATAGTGGCTTTCCAAAATCTCATGCTGTAATTTTTCTCTGCCTTGTAGTTGCTTTGCTTTTATCATAGAATTTTGAAAAAAAGTGCCAAAATGATTATTTCACAGTGCCAAAATATCATTTAAACTATTTTTCTTGTTTATCCTTTGTAGGGATTAACATTTTTTGGGATGCAACTGAACATCTCTCCTTTCAGTTCCATAACAAGAAGATAAGGACACTATGGGAACTGTGCAAAACTCAAAATTTGCATATTCATTTCAAATCCTGGTCAATTGTTTATGCTGTATACACTTTTTGTGAGGGCAGCCCCTCCCCACCAGCTTTTAAAAGTCTGAAATTAATGCCAAGAAATCTTATACTATGAACACAAATTGGCACAGCCTGCATAATGCATTTTGCCTTTAAGACTCAGATTTTTAAAGAGAGTTAACTATTTTTCAGCAAGTTTATAAAAATGAAAATTCAGTTGGGGCAAGAAGGATGTATTCGTAAAACAGAAGGAAAATTTGGGAGAAGAAAAATAATTGCAAACTTAACTTTGGTGTGACCAAACATTTTCATATATTCATCTGCACTATGTCTTGATTTAGACATTTGTAAACAGCATCTTGGATTCAGTCCCTGCTCACCTGTTGTATAATTTTATTGTTGAAATCAACTATAAAAACAATTGTACACCATACACCATTGATTGATTTGATTGTATATTATGTATTATCTTTTTTCTCCAACCAGAATTCCATTTCTAAATGGGTGGTTAAATAAATTTATTAAATAAAAGTAATGAAATGTGTGAATTAGTCAGTGATATGTGATTTGAAAAATGAAGGCTAAACAAAACGTGACAATAGCAATTCTGTAAAATTTCTTCAATTGCCTACAAGAGCAACAGAAAGGGTAATGAAATATGAACATTATTTTTTTTAAAAAAAATTGCTACCATGGATTACATAATCTATCACTTTTGTATTAGTGTGCTGTGCCTACTAGAACATGTTTTTATTTTAATGGCTATGTGCTGATCTATGGCCATAATAAAGATATGATATGATATAATATATGAATAGCTTAGCCTAAGTGAAAAAAATCCTGCACTTCTCATCCATATTCCTATTTTACTGTTAAAAATAGAACTTCCCAGTCCCTTAAAAATGGATATTCATAATATATAGTTCAATACCTAGATGTTGTTCCAATTAGTTTGAACCTGGTATCAAGTTCACCTCTAGCACTAAATAGTAATGTAATTTGTTTCCTTTTGCTTTCGTCTCTCTACCAAGGTTTTAAAATCATAGTTAATGCTCTTACCTGATGGGTAAACCCAGCCACTGGGCCTATTCAACAAACGATGGTTTTGTTTGATGAATGAAGCTATTTAGCATGAGTGACCTTCATTTATGTAAATCTCTGTGCATTATTTTTTATTTCTCTAAATTCTGAATACCGATTATATTTTATCAATTTTGGATAGTTATTTTAAAAACCAAAATATTGCTGTTGTATCCAGAATGTAACATAATAGCAGAATTTGAAGGAATACAAGCCAATAGTGAATTCCTCTTTATTGAAGAGGAAGGTGCTACGGTGATTCAAGACGCCATTATTGGATGCAATGGGATTAAACAATTTTTGTTCAGTCTTCTATCTCATATGCTGTCCAACTTCCCAGAGTCGCTGAGAGTGTAAATGTAGTAAATTATAATCATTATTTTCTTTCCATTCTTAGGGAAGTTGTAGAGAAGGCAGCAGTTTGCAGTCCTAACACCTTGGAGGAAACAAATGATCTTTGAACCTTTCCAGTCTATTTCAGACTGTACTGTAGCACCAAGATGTAATTTATAGCACTTGGGGATTTGTGGATGACCTCTGGTGGACATGTGTTTGGGTCTGGTATCCTAAACCCTCTTAATTTCTTGTTGACTTTCAATACCCTTGATTAGGATATCCTTTTGGACTGATTTAGGGAGTTGGGAATGGAAGCCCTGTTGTTTGATGGTTCTCTTCTTTCTTCCAAGCTGGTTTAGACTCAGGGGAGTGTGTTGGGGGAGGACGTAAGCTTCCCCTTTGTTGTTGTCATAGGGAAAATAATGTTTGAGTGAAATTCTATATATATCTTATTCATGAATAATATCCAGATAAGTATGAATAAATGTGCACTCTTGGTAGCCTTATTCATAAATGGAACACATATTCTGTCTCTATAGAAGTTCATTACTTGCTTCTTATAAATGGTGTTCTCTGTTCATAGATCCACAAGGATCCTACTATGCCCATCTTCAAGAGCTCTTTAAAGACCTATCTTTTCCCCAGGCTTTATGTTAGATGATGGACTGGCTCTAAGAATTATGAGATATGTGGATGGTAAGTTTTGCTCCTTGAATGAATACTCTTTTTAATATTTAAAAAAAACTTCACAAAGTTGTCTGGGATGGGACAACTTCGATTGAGGTCTGAGATTGCCGAGGTTATAATGAAAAATGAATATAATAAAACTCAGAAAAACGAATATAAACCCAGCCAAAACACACACTCTTTAATTTGCCTTGTAGGGATGGGCCCAATGGGAGAATATTCCAGAGGGCAGGGGCAAATAAATTTTGCCACTATCATATATGTAAAAAAAAGTTGAGGGAAATATTCAGAAGCCTGGGTGAGAAGGAAAGCTTGAGTTTGTTTGAGAACACAATAACCTTGCTACAAGAAAATGAAACAGTGTTGCATTTGTACTTCTATTAGCAACTTGATGTGGCAGAATTAACAAATGAAACTTTTTATTATACTATCACCATCCCACACTCTCCTTTCTCAGGTTTATATGCCATATATCTAATGAAGTGAACTATGATCCACAAAACCTAATCTAACAACCTGATTTTTCTTTAAGACTTTGGTATTTTTCCCCTCAAAAACTTGAGCAACTGCCTCTCAGGAAAAACTAAAGTGGGTGGCTAACTACCTGGCTTATTTGTTTGTTGTTTTGTCAGGAATGAATCTTATGAAACACAGATATATATAGAATTAGTGTCAGACCTCCTCCATTAAAAAAGATGGGAGTGAGATAATCCTTTTAGAATGCAGTAATTAATATCTCTCTGTCAGCAATTGTGGAATTTGTAGGAGATTAGTTCATGGAACCTAATAAGAAGTGAATGCAACTTCCCTGTAAGGGGAAACCTACACAGGAGAATAGTTAGGCAAGTTTGGCTGTGACTTATCAATTGAAATCTTGATTTGGATATTCAAGAGTTTTATTTTTATATACAACCCATTAGCCTTTGAGAGAGCATTGATGAAAGAAACTGTAAAGTGTTAGCTTTGCTTCTGCTCCTTGGGACTTAAAAATGATATTTTTGACTAAATACAATCCATTGGAGCCTTCGCTGGCTTGTTCTCTTTTTCTACTAATTTTTATACATGTCTTCTTCCTCTTCTCAGATGACAAAGGCATTCATATTATCTTCCATTAATATCAAGTAGCCTGAGAAAATCTGCTGCAAAGGCAACTGGTTAATGCCTAATAGCAGTTTATTAGCATTGATTGTGGATTCATTGTCTGGGGCAACAATAGATGAGTTATTTATAACCGTAACTTGATTCTGACAAAGGCTTGTTTTTTTAGCAGTCATGTCTTTAAACTTGTGATTGCTGTTAACCCAAACAAGCACACCACACAAGACTTGAAATGGAAGTAAGTTCTCTCAGAATTGCAATAAACTCTATTTATATTAATAAACATTTATTCTAATTTAGAATTAGGATTATAGAATTACAATAGATTTTACTGTATGAATACAGAACATTTTATAACCAGTACAAACCCATGTACTCATTTGTAATCTAGGAATGGTTTCTAAATTAATTTACATTCTCTGTCAGATGTAGTCTTGATATGGTAGACATCAAAGTAGATCTCCATAACTCATTTTAACTAAAGCTAATTCAGTACACTTTGTGGGAATATTTGGTTTCATAAAGTTTAATAAAAATGTGTTGAATTGTGATTTCAACTTTTAATATTAGTTTTATTCACATATGAATCATTTTTCAAAAATTTTGAGGTTTATAATATCACATTTTATGAAAGAATGATCCAACCTGATCACTCCCTTTTGAGCAGTTTTTAGAAGATAAACTATCCAGTTTAGCAATAAGAATTGGGATAATATACCAATGAAAAAAAAGTATCAATTGTCTCTAAATACATTTGGTAGAAATTTAATATTCTTCTTGCATTGATATTTCCATTGCTACCTATCTATTACCGCATCTAAATTCTGCATTTATTTAATTATACAATCTTTGACTTGTGTATTATTTAAATGTATGCTTTTATCAATGTACTTTGCATGTTGTTTTTTTCCTTTGTTAAAGAGAAAAGAAAATATACTCTTTTTCTCTGCATTATTTTTTCCTTTTCTATGCAGAGCATACAATTCACGGTAAGGACTTTAACTAATATGCTTTGAAATAAATGGACTAAACACAGGTCTCGGGATAGGGTGAATGGAGCCCCCTCACTGGATGTCTTTCTCTTGAGTGGCCAGATGCCACCTTTTTAATCTATTTTGTTTTGTGTTTTATTTTGGTTTTCTGTTATATATTCATACACCTTCAATTGTAGATGGATTGGTATATGTTGATCACAGAGCACACCAGTGATCTCCTTCCAACATAACCAAGCTTTGTTTACTCTTGATGCTGCTATCACTTTGTAGATGGGATCCTAGGTCATGGAAGGAGTTGATCTTCACTAGATCTTTACTGCTGACTTGTATGATGGCAGTGCTTGGGCTGGTCTCTAAATATTCAGTCTTTTTGATATTGAGGTGCAGGGCAAATTGGAAAAGGCAATTGTTCCCTAATTGTGATAGTATCCATAACAATGTTGAACCTTGATGAACATCAACTTTCACAGGAAAGCGGTCAGAAAGGCCGACAGTGCATCACATGGTATTTGCATGCAGCATCTGGACCCATGTTATGAGTGGCTCAGACACACCGTGGTCACATAGCTCATACCAAATTAACTGATGCTGAACATGGTCAAGGGCCTTTTCAAGGTCGAGGAAAGTCAAATGTAAAGATTTCCCCTTTTCTCAGTGTTTCTCTATAAGCATGAGAACTGCAAAGATGGGGTCAGTAGTACAAGAGCCTTTGATAAAGCTACATTGGTATTAATTTTTACAATGTCATGTAGATGCTGGTTGATGATCCACTCAAAAATTTTCATTGTGTGTGATAGAAGGCAAAATTAGTTAATAGTTTGGGCAATTTGCTGGATCCTCTTTATTCTGGAAGAGGGTTACTGTGATGCTCATGGTCATGAGGCATGATGAAATTTAATAATAATAAAGTTGGAAGGGACCTTGGAGGTCATCTAGTCCAACCCCCTCCTCAGGCAGGAAACACTATACCATTTCAGACAAATGGCTGTCCAGTCTCTTCTTAAAAACTTCAATAAGCTCATATGATAACATTTAATATGACCTATTTATATATTGATAATTTTTATATTATCAATCTTTTTTTGCCCCCAATATCCAAGTGGCATCAAGTAAAAAGGAAAGATCAGCCAAGAAATCACCAGCAACAAAGTACTTTAGATAACTGTATTAATATTGCTAGTACACATACAATTGAAAAGACAGTTCTTGACATACAAGAATCCAAAGACGGGGGC